GGCCATGCCTTGCAAGGGCTCAGTCAGAGACCTGTGTTTGATGACAGTGCTGTACAAGAGAACTTTCTACCAAGGCCTGGCGGGGGGAGGGGGGGGCGCGCGGGGCTCTGCATGAGAAGAGGTGAGGAGCTCACCTGGAAGGGTTCTAGGTAAGCCTGGACTCCCAACAGAACTGAGGGTTTTTCTAGCAGGAAGCATGTCTTCATTGGTCTTTGGTCAAATGCCAAAGAGCTTATCCTTTATCTCAACTCCGATTTTTTGACTATTGTGGTGAGAACTGATTTTTGACTATTGTAGTGACGGAGCAAATCCTCCGGAAGTCCTGCTCTGGTTACCTAATGTTCTGCTCTGGGTGAGCAGAGGGAGACTGGGGCCTGGGCCTGGGCCTGGGCTGGGGTTATGGGTGTGGAGCTCTGGCTGAGCAAGATCAGGATTGCTTGCGGCTGGGACAATGGGAAGCTAGAGATAACAGCTCAGAGTAAAGCTGGCCAGAGCCCAAAGGATGATTCCAAGTACCCAGCTAAGGGAGCTGGGCAGAGAGAAGGGATGTTGGCCGGACATGCTAGATACAGCAAATGGGGCCTGGAGGAGTTCACACTGCAAGCTGGGACCCCAGCCAGGGGAGGGCATCAGGGATGTGGTGTGGTCTTAGAGAGGAGCGAGCCCAGGGAGACCCTCTCCTCTCTTAAGCTTTGAGTGGCAAGAGATCTGCTTAGAAGGTGATGGGCTCTTACCTGTGGTTCCTGTAAGAGTTTGACTACCTTCTTGAATTATAGCTGAGTCTCTCAGGATTCTAAAGCTCTCCAGACCCTGTTTTCTTCTCAGACTAAAGCTCGTGGGGGTGTTCCTGGAGCTTTCTCCCAGGGCTTCATCTTCATGCCTTTTGCTTGTACCTGGGTCCCACAAAGGACGTTTGTGGGATGGAGATCTTTGGGACAGGTTGAGGAGTCCCAGAGGTAAGAAGGCAGTGTTGTTTCTAGGGCTCTGCCTCAGCTTTGGGGCTGAGCTCAGGCCTCTCGTCCGCCTGCTTGAGCACCTGCTCTGTGGCAGGCCTTGGCCTGGTTGCTGAGGACACAGATACACAAGAGGGATGCTAAGGAGAGGTGGGGGAGATGGCTAACTCAGCTTGGCAGTGCGGTGGAAGTGGTGTTAGGAGACTGTTGGAAGTGAGGCCTGATATTGATAAGGCAGGGAAGGCTTATGGGAATAGCATGGGCCAAAGCTTGGACGTGAAAATGGATGTGGTTCCTTGTGGCTCAGGTGCTGGGCCAGGGGAGGGAAGTGGATGGTGCGTAGAGGCCAAAGCATGAAGGGACTACGGTGCTGGGCTAACGAGTGTGGGTTTTAGCCTGAGATGAACTTTGATCCTGAGAGCGAGAGGGCGCCGGGAGAGACTGCCCAAGGGCAGTCACATGACTGAGCGCTAGTCCACCCTCTGCAGGCCCTTTGGAACACATTCGTTACTGCCCCCGTCAAAGGCTTGCCACGCAGTGAGGACATGGCACATTTTGTTGTTGCCTTTTGCCACCTTCTCAAACACAGTGTCCAAAGCGGATTGTATTTTCTTCTCCTTTCCTCATCCCTTCTTCCTATCACCCACTTCTGTCTGGTCCCCACTCCTCCCATCTCCTTGCCTGGCCTTTCTCGGCGCATGCGTTCATCTCCCAGCTGCCAGTCTGCCCATGGCTTGTTGGTTGTGGGTACCAGCTGGCACTCAGATGGCTCACAAGATGTCAGTGCTGTCAAATGCCCAGGGCACAGAGTTTCCTGCAGGGTGCCCTCTTCCTCTGCCCCAGACGCGAGAGGAAGGAAAACCAGGTAAAATACGGAAACCAGCGATAAGAAAATGCGTGCGATTCTGTTAGCTCCACCAGCTAGGCCCAAGCATGGTTCAGTATTGCAACCGAGGTGACTAAATCTGCTACCAGCACTTCTTCTCGCCCTCCGCTCTCTAAGTTATTTCGTTTATATTTCAAATAGGTTCTATATGCTCCCGGTACAACATTCAAAAGTTGCAAAAGGCATGCAGTGCAAAGTAAGTCTTGTTCTCTTCCCTTCTTCCCCTCCCACCCCCCATGGCCCTTCCCCAGAGTTAAGTCGTAGCCACCCACGAACTGTATTGCTGCTCCCTCTGAAGCACTTTCTCCCCTGGGCCCTTGTGACTCTGCACAAGTGTCCTGGTTTTCCTCCTGCGTCACCAGCCACTCCTCCTCTCTCTCCTTTTCTGGTTTTCCTCTGCGGGACAGCTCCGTGTTGGAGCGCTGCCGTGCTGGGCTCTGGGATGACACCCCTTTATTTCTGCATTCCCTTTCTGGATGTTACAGTAGCAGTTTACAACGACATCTGTAAGTTGGCGCCTTTCAAGTGCATTCAGCCTGTTCTGATTTTTCTGAATCTCAAGCACTGGCATTTCTAGTAGATGTCGAGTAGGTGTCTGGAATGGAGTATGTACAAATCAAACCCAAATCAGAGGTAAGCACTTGGCTCTTCTCCCAGCCCTAACCACTTTTGGCCCTAGTCTCTTCACTTTTTTCGATAATGGTCCTACCATTCACCAAGTGCTCTAGTCCCATCTTTAAATGCCATCTGTCACCTTTGACTATTTCTCTCTCTCATCCCAAAAGGGCTTGTTAACTCTTCCTCTAGCACATGCCCTGACTTTGTCTACTTTTCTCCCTTCTCTCTCAGCATCCCTTGCCCCAGCTTTCTCCTGGGCCGCCACAGGAGCCTCCCACACGGGCTCCCTGTAGCCAATCTGCTTCCCGAGCAGTCTGGCCAGCGCAAGTTTCCTTCCATGCTGATTGATGCTGATTGACAGGGGTCCGAGGGCTGTGTTGGCTATTGGAAAAGGTGGAGTATCGATGGGCATCTTCAGGCTGCAAGCTCCACTCTAGAGCTTTGCCCTGGCCGCCTTGTGCAGACCATTCTGAAGAAACCCAGCCCACTCTTTCTGGGATGTGCTCTGAATCCATCTGCCTCCCATTCCAGGATCCTCCAGGCCGTTTCCATCTCCTTCACGTCTCTTTATTGGCTCTCCTGGTTTCTCAAGACTGCTTCGGTCCAGTTCCTCCCACGGTTTTTGATCCCGCTTTAACCTCTTGATGGGCTACGCTGTTTGGACTCGTGCACTTGGCTTCCACCTTGGGCTCTTATGGGCCTGGCTTCAGGTGCCCTTTCTCTGATCCCATCACAAGTATGAAGGGTGCAGCACCCCTGAATTTTCCCTGCTCCCCATGGGAATAACCCTCCCCTTAAGGGAAGGGTACTGAATGTGCACATTACACGCTTTAGGGAAGGAGCACACCAGAGAGGTCATGTCCACGAAACTTTATGTTAGACTAACGGTAAGCAACAGTTGAAGCAGGGTCTCTTCCTCCTAGACTGTCTCGCAAGGAAATGGACTGCCTCATGAGCGTCAGCACCCGCCCACAGGGTTCATTCATCCTCCCTAAGAGACTGGCTGGATGAAAGCACTTGTGAGGCTATTTATGGTCCATAGAGCTTGGCACTGAAGCCGCAGGGCATCTGCTTTGGATTCCTGCCCTGTGGTCTCTGAGCAACCAGGCTGCCTCAGGAGCTTCTACTTCACACCCATTCCTTAACCCAAGCTTGCACGGGACAGAGCAGTTCCAGGCAGAGAGCGACAGGATCCTGGCACCTCTCAAAGCTTCCTTCCAGCCTGCTGGACGCCAGTGCCTGGGCTGGCTTGTGCCAAGACAGGCGTTCAGGGGAGAAGCAGGTCTGGAGGGTGGTCCCAGAACAGGGCTTGGAGGTATGTCTAGGTTAGAACAAGGATGTAAGTCGTGGTGAAAACAAGCGCCTAGTTTATTGGGTCACTCTGAAACCATCTGCCGAGATCAGGGAAGCCATGTGTGGTGCTCCCCCCTCCTACGGTGGCTGCTGGCTGCGGAGGGCTTTGATGGCTACAGGGGTGGAGGGGAAACCGGAAGCCCCAGGGATTGTGTTCACTGCAGACTCACAAGGCTGGGAGGCTCAAGAGCTGGAGTCAGCTGAGCTGGATTTCATGTGAGGAAGAGACATGGGAGGACAGCCTGCGGAAGGAGGAACTGATGATCTTTGGGCTCCTGGAGAGCAGAGCACTAGAAGGGAGGTCTTGATGTTATAAAGGGCAGAGCTAGACTGATTCACTTATTTATTCCTTCTCAGCAAGCAGTCAGCAGGAAGGTCTGCACTTCCTGCGAGGTTGTGTGTGTGTGTTTGTGTGACAAAAATCAGGCAAGGCCCCCATTGTCAGGTTACACCGTGTCCGGAGGTTGCCATGGAGGTAGCTGACCAGGGGCTTGAGAGCCGAGGCTGGAGAAGCATTTGGAAGGGAGCTGGTGTGGAGGAAAGGTTGATGGCGGCAGAGGGAAGGAAGGCTTTGGCCTGGAGACCTTTAAGAGGTTTTCCAACCCAAAAGGAGAGCCCGGGTTCTCACTCCTGGAGAGCCTGGTGGGGCATGAGGCAGTTTGAGAAGACGGGAGACGGCTCTGTTCAGGAATGCGGAGGAGGAGGGTCAGATAGGATGGTGGCCAGGCAGGGCCCGGATGTCTGCTGGGCTCTGGTTTGGGTGAAGGAACCCCAGTCCTGGTTGAAGATGAGGGGTGACCCAGAAAGGGCAGTGGTGAATACCAGAAATGGCTGTCGAGGCAGCAGGGACCCAGAGCTCGGAGAGACCTTGGCCGAGCCCAGAGCCTAGAGAACAGGGGTGGGGGGCTGTCTTGCTCTGGCCCCACAGGCCCTGCCAGTTGTGGTTTAGATGCACCCCTGCTGTCTCCTGTGCCCCCCGCTTTCACCTCAGGGTTTGCAGGATGAGTGTCAGTACCTCCTTCAGCCGCAGCTCATCATCCGGCGCTTGCTGGACGTGGCTGTGTTGGTCCCTGGCCGCCCCTCGGAGCAGACCCTCTGCCCCCACAATCGGTCCGCACTGTTCAAGTGAGTAAGACGCTCCCCAGGCTGACCTTCCCCTCTTCCTTCTCCTGGGGCTCCAACAGGGAGGGGGGCTCTCTCCTGACTCCTCAGCTCTGCCTCCCGCCAGCATGGACTCCCGGGTTACCCAGAGCCTCTGGTGGGTCGGATCCCTGCCCCCTCTCCTAGCACCGAGGGGGGAAGACCAGGAAAGGCCTTCTGCTCCTTCTAGCCACCCCTCCGGTCCCCCTTCCCGTCGTCCATCTCCTCGTGTGCTGGGGCCGCTCTCATCTCTGCTCCCTGTCCTTTCTTACCCCGACCTTCCCTGCCCAGGGTCTTTGTGCCCAGCTTCACTTACAGGGTTTCAGCACAGCTGGTGTGTGTGGGGGCCCGGGGGGCATTCGCCTGCCCCCTGACCCTGCGTCTACGTCCCAAGGCCCCACCCCTGCATAACTCCAGCTCAGTGACTTGTGGAGGTGCCTCAGCATGCCAGCTGGAGCTGCCACTGCCCCCCTGGGGGCACTGGGTCTACGTGCGTGTGGAGATGCCCTCCCGGGGCCCCAGCAGGACCATTCGCTTCCAGCTGTGTGTGCGGTTGCAAGGTCAGAACCCCACATCTGTGGCAGCCGCCCCGCTTATCCATGGACAGACGTCTGTCCGTGGCTGGCGAGAGGCAGGCAGGGCGGCTGGGCTCACGGACTTTCGGTCATGGCTCCACGTACAACTTCCCCAGCCCCTTGAAGCTCTTGGTCATGGGACAAAGCCAGGCCTCTCAGAAGACAAGAGCCTAGCAGTGCAATGGTCAGGTGTTCCGCTGCTAGCCGAAAGGCTGGGGTGCATCCTGACCAGCTGCTCTGTGGGAGGAAAGCCCGGCTGTAAAGATGCAGGCCCAGGACACCAGGTGGGGCCCGGTGCTTCGTAATTGACATGATGGCACACCACTGCAGCAGCACGGGACCTCACGATTGTCCTCACTTCCTCTCTCTCTGTGGCCTGGGGGAGGCAGGGCTAGTCAGGGCCTCTCGGACACTGGCCTCGCCAAGCAAGCGCATGAGAGGGCACATCACCCTTGGCTTCTGGCTCAACAGGGTCTTCACTGCCCTTGGGGCGAGACTGAGGACCTCCCCCCACCCAACATGACAACATCCCATTAGCTGTGACCATGGGAAACTCTAGCTTTCACCCGGACACCTAGTCCTGATTCCTGCCCACCCTTTGCTCAGTTCTGTTTGGTTCAGATCTGGGCTGGGGGTTGGCAGGGAGGAGGGCTGCAGGGTGGTGTGGGCACAGACCCCAGCTCTGGTTTCCTTTCCCTTACAGAGTGTCCGCAGCCCAGCCTGTCCCGCGCCCTGGTCCCTGGAGCTGCCATGAACATGCCCCAGTCGCTGGGCAACCAGCCATTGCCCCCAGAGCCTCCCTCCCTTGGGACCCACACAGAGGGGGCTGGGGCCACGTCCCCGCCCGAGCATTGCTGGCCAGTGCGCCCGACACTGCGCAATGAGCTGGATACCTTCTCGGTCCACTTCTACATCTTCTTTGGCCCCAGTGTGGCGCTTCCCCCGGAGCGCCCAGCCGTGTTCGCCTTGAGGCTGCTGCCTGTGCTGGACAGTGGAGGCGTCCTCAGTCTGGAGCTCCAGCTCAACGTGGTACTCTTTGGGAAGAGGAGGGAGCTGTCGTGGGGTGGGGTGGGGGAGCACAGGGTGGGGGTGGTATCTCCTCCAGGAAATCTGCCAAGGCTACTTCCACCCAACCTTACAGTCAGGGACCATGCCTCCGCCCAGTTCTAGCCAGAAAATGTGCTCCGGATACGGACTCTGCTGGCCAGGGCAACTCGGAGGTGTTGGGACTTTTTTTGGGGACTGCCAGTTTTGCCGACTACCTCTCACTTGGTAAGGGCCTCTCTCCCTGGCACGTGTCCACTTTGTTCTTGCACATCTCTTGGAATGGGGGGCTCGCCATCTCTCAAGGCTCAGGCAGCTCTGATCGCTAAAGGCTTAGTTCACTTGAGTTCCACTAAGATCCTTTTGTTTTTATTTTCTACAAATCAGTTAAACACCTTTACCTTTTAAAAATATTATTATAAAGCAGTAGAAACACATATAAAACCTTCAAAAAGTAGAGCCATACACCCCTCTAACCCACCAGCTCAGCTCTGAGCTCTGAGTCCTCTTGGTTCTGTCCGCACCAACCGCGTGGTTTATCTAGTTGTGATCATGGGGCACGTGCCTCTTGGTACATCAATCCAGTAATTCATCAGCTCTCCCCTTCACTTGCAAGATTGGCTGTTCAAACCCACCAGCCGCTCTGAGGGAGCGAGGTGAGGTGATCCGCTCCTGTGCAGATTTACAGCCTCGGCAGCCCTCTCTGGGGCCACTCAGTGGATCAGAATCAATCGAGTGACAGTGAGTTTGTTTCTGGTTTGTTTGTTTGGTGTTCCGCTCGGCAGGAATCCTCCAGCTCTGGGGCTCGGGGTCACGGTCCCTTCAGCAGACCTGAGACCTTCTCTGTGGCGTGATGTGATATAGCTCAGACTCTCTAGCCTCCAACCTGAATACATTCCTATTTCCCAACTCAAACTCTGTGATTCTGTTCTGGTGAAGACGGCATTTTTTGTATCTGCCTATTGCCATTTCGCGGGCCCTGATGGAGGTGGGTTATTTTGGTTTTGCTTTTAGTGACTGTAAAAAGTTTGACTTACTTTGTTGTTGTTGAGAATGTACACATACTAATCCAACAGTTCCTGCCCGACAGTTTAGTGATCCATTCTTTGCGTTGTGCAACCATTTCACCTCCCTTTGCGGACTTGCTCTTCCCACCTGGACCTGAACACTCTGCCCCTCTGTAGGAATTCTGTGGAGTGTTTTGAAATGCTGTTGGCACTTTGATCGTGTAGTTATTAAAAGAGCATAAAGTTCAAGGCAGACATTTTTCACTTGTTAAGCTAAACCCAGGGGCAGTTCTAGTCTGCCCTACAGGGTCCCATGAGTCAGACTTGACCCAGTGGTCTTCAGAAAATGTCAGGGGATATTTTTGGTGTCAGTTTAAAGATGATTTCAAAGGCTCTCTCCAATTTTCATGGTGCCAGTAAGTCTGGAGTCCATGAGAATGTGAAATTCTGCCCTGTATTTTCTTCCTTTTGATTAGGAGTCTTCTGTGACATCTTTGGTCAGTATGCTCAGTGATGGTATCCAGGCACCATCTAGTTCTGGTCTCATGGCAAAGGAGGCAGCTGTTCACAGAGGCAATCAGCCACACCTTCCACGTCCTCCTCTTCCTGACGCTCCTTCCTCCTTTATTGCTCTAAGTGACTGGAGAGGAATTGTGGAGCTTGGATGGCTGCTCAAAATCTTTTAAGATCCCAGACACGATGCAGCAAACGAGGAGGTGGAGCACAAGCACCAGAAATGTTATTAGACCGATGAATCAGACTGACCCACGAAACTGTGACCCTCAACCTCTCACCCAAGGAACCAGGTCCCCTGGGGTTTGTAGTTACACATAAGGAGGCTGTGAGGTTTTGATCTGACTTGGATGTTGTAGGTCTCGAACTCTGATGTCTTGAATCCGAGTTCTCCCCACACCTGTACTTGTTATTCCTCAGTATCCTGAAAGTAGAGGCCTCGCCCCCTTGCAGCCTCTCACCTTCTCCCCATCCTCATTCTTCTTGTCCATTCACGCTAAAGGACACGGCTTACATTCCACCCATCTGCATGCTGTGACCCTTACTACCCCTCTCAGACAGCCTGTTATGTTCTTTTTGAAAGGTAGATTGATACATCCATTCTTTTTCCCTCCAAATACCCTGATTTTTTTGCCTTGAGCATTTAGGTCAGGAAACTCCCACCTAGATGGCATCATACCTGTTCTGGTGCCCTCCAGGAATGACTTCCTGGTGAACACTCTGGCACATGCCTAGACTTCACTGAAGGAACTCACAAGTGAGGTGTCTGAGGCTCATGCTGGCAGTTGGGGACAGGATGTGGAGCGGAGCGCAACACTGCTGTATGAGGACCCTCCCGACCCTGGCTCTGGCTGCTGCGTCTCCAGAGACACCAGTGATCTTTTCTCTCGTGTAACACACAGCTTTGATGGAACACTGTACTGCCTTCATTGCCTTCCCCAGTGCCCTGCATCTGGGGACAGGCCTGACTTTGTCACCCTGATCTTCTGATGTCCCTCATGCGTTTCGTGTATCCTGTTAGGTGCACACTCTTACCTGTCTGAAATCCCTGAATGAGGTGAGGTCCTGGCGTCCTGTTACCTGTATTCTTGCAGACAGCCTCTCACAGCCACTCCTGGGCTCTCTGGTTCCTCCCTTTTCCTCCAGCCAGGTGGAGGAAAACACTCTCTCCCCCAGGCGTTCATTCTGTCACCAGCGGGTCCTTTGTCCCCGGTGATCATGTCATCTGAGGGCGTGGCTTCAGGCCCAGGTGAAGATGGTGGCAAGCCTGATGGCTCTCTTCATTTCACGATGAGTTTCTGCACCTTTCTGCAAAAGCCCCTTCCCTCTCCCTACCCCTGCGCTCACCCCCACTGGCTGCTGAGGAGCCGATAAGAGAACGCCCTCTGTGGCCCGGACAGAAGTGAAGCAATCCCACCCCACTGGGTCCGTCCCTTCCCACCATCAGTCTTTGAGAAGTGCCTGTTGCTGAGGGTCTGATCATGGGTCCTGACCTGAGAATGGAGGAGAGAGGCACTTGGGGGATAGGGATGTCCATGGAAGACCCCAGGAGGCTTCTAGGGAGAAGCTAACAGGTGTAGGGCCATGGTATGTGTGTGTGTGTGTGTGTGTGTGTGTGTGTGTGTGTGTGTGTGCACGCGTGCTCATGCACTAGTACCAGGGGGTTGTAAGGCCCCCTCCTCCCCTCCTCCTCTTTCCCAGAGCTCCCTGCACCAGGAAAATGTGACCGTATTTGGATGCCTGACTCATGAGGTGCCTTTGAGCCTGGGAGATGCAGCAGTGACCTGTTCCAAAGGTAGGGGTAGGGGCAGGAAGTGGGAAGTCCCTGGGCACAGGGTGGCGATGGTACAGCCCGGCTACTAGGGTCTAGGGCAAGGGGGGTAGGGAGGTCCGTGGGTGAGGGACCCTGTGCCCTGCCACCACACTGACCCTCCCTCCCCTTCTCCCGTGTAGAGACCCTGGCCGGCTTTCTCCTCTCTGTCAGTGCCACTTCCAGAGTGGCCAGGTTGCGCGTGCCCTTCCCGCAGACAGGGACCTGGTTCCTGACCCTCCGCTCTCTGTGCGGGGTGGGGCCTCGGTGAGTGGCTGGGGGTGGGTGGGACAACTAGGTGCCTGAGCATCCCGGCCTCCAGGTAACGGGGAGTGTGTGCGCAGGTTCGTGCGGTGCCGGAACGCGACGGCGGAGGTGCGGCTGCGCACCTTCCTGTCCCCGTGTGTGGACGACTGCGGGCCCTATGGGCAGTGCAAGCTGCTGCGCACGCACAACTACCTGTATGCGGCCTGCGAGTGCAAGGCCGGTGAGTGGGCGTCCCGGGAGCAGCAGGCAGCGCGGCCGGAATCGGTTTGACCCATGGTGGCCATGGAGAAGATGGGAGGGCGGAGCCCTCGGGAAGCCACCCTGGGCTGGCAGCGGCCTAGCGATTGGCCAGAGGCTGGGAGGCCATGGCCTGCTGACCCCACGCTGCCCTCCCTCCGCAGGGTGGCGGGGCTGGGGCTGCACGGACAGTGCCGACGCGCTCACCTATGGATTCCAGCTGCTGTCCACCCTCCTGCTCTGCCTGAGCAACCTCATGTTTTTGCCACCCGTCGTCCTGGCTGTCCGGAGTCGCTACGTGCTGGAAGCCGCCGTCTACGTGTTCACCATGTTCTTCTCCACGGTGAGCACTGGCCACAGGCCTCTCTGCCCTGCTGGGGCCTTCCCCGTCACCTGCCCACTGTGCCCACCGGGAACTTGAGGATGCCTTGTGGGGATCTGTCGCCCACAGCAGAGCCTCCCAGTCTTTAAATATCCCTGCCTCGCAGGACTTTCCAGCTCGATTTCATGGGGGCGGGGC